CAATCAGCAGGACAATGCCTTGCATTCCCACTAGCACAAAAGTTCCCATCTTGAAATGTCAATTATTCCAACACTGAGAAACTTTGATTTAGAGAGAAAGAAAACAATAACCAAATGCAGAATATGGCATCTTATTCTCACGTGTGATACAGGCATATGGATGCACAGACTGCACTACTTCCTTGTGCTGGTGGTTCCTCTTGGCAGCAAGTATCTCCCTTGCTCTCTCTTCTTCCCTGTCTGGAGAAACACCACCGGTTCTCTATACTCCCATAATCACCACCCTTTCCTCAAATTTTAAAATTAAAATTGGTTTCCTTTTGTTGCATAAAATAACATAACAAATTGAACCAAACATTCAACCTTTTTTATTTTTTGGTAATATGCCTAATTAAAAATAACTAGGCTCTTCAATGCATAATTATGTGAACACCTAATACACTATTTCCCACCAATTTTGTTTCAGTCAAAAATATGCACCAGAAGTATGAATGATCGACAACACTACTCCCTGCTGTATCTGTTCTGTTGCTGAATCAAAGCTCATTCTTGAGTTGGGTATTTTCACTACATTTTCCTTGCAGTGCAATCATTTCCCAGTTGGACAATTAATAAGTGCCTTTTCTCCACAGCCCTTGCCACGCAGCCTCCCTTACTCTGTACTTTAACATATACTATAAACCTTCTCCACTCTGACTGGTTTTGGCAGTGACCCACAATCTAAATCTCTTTCTTCCATTTGATATAAGTGAAACTATAATTATCTAAGGGCTAATTTCAAATTACTACTTCATTCTAGTAGCAACTGATGAAGATTAGTGGTCTTGCCTTGCCTCTGAGTAAGGCAGCAACATAATCACAAGAGGACTCAGCAGGTAACATTTGATTCATGTGAACTCAATTACTCCTGTCAAACACATTCACTTCAATGAAAAGCAGAAAGTTTCAAAATGGGTTTTTGCTAACCATTTTGTACTCTATAAGGTTTTTCATGAATCTCAAGGGGGAAAAATAACATGTATTTAATCAAATAATACTAAATAATAAGTACAGAAACACACTTAGATACATGAATTTAGAACCTTATTTGTTTCTGAAAAATAAAAATATTTCAAACAAATAACCTTGTGTATTTTAACTTATTACTGAAACTTTAGCTATATAAGTCTTGCTTGTAAAAATTTCTCTGTACTATATTTTAGATTGATACTCTAGAAACCAGAATATGTTACTTCCACCCCAAAGCTAGATTATTACCGGTCAGGTAGCCTATTTCCCTTCACAGAAGTGAAATGAGAGGAAGTTGTATGAAGGTGACTGACTATGAATTGCTAAATTATCCTGAACTCCTAAATCATGGCTTGGTGTCCTGGGTTAAACCTTGATGATTAACGAGCTGCCCAGCTTTCTGAACCCTGAGGTGAAGGGCTGGTCTCTGAAAGGCCCTGGGTTGACTCCGCCATGCCCAAGTGTAATGCTTACATGGACATGATCTGATGGTGGTGACCGGGTGACCTTCCACAGTAGACTCAGTAAATATTCATATATGATAATCATTATAACATATATATTCAAATTTCAGCTGCTTAAAATAATTATATCCTTAATTAAATGTTCACATAATTTGACTATCAATGAAACTGAGTAATTAGATGTCATTATGTAATAAGATGGTATGATAACTATGTTTCCATACATGATGTGTGGAGCTCTGCAAAATGCACTAAGGTGGGGCTTACAACAGAAAATAGATGAAATGCTAATCGTGTGTGCTATCATACTTGGATCCTGAGAATGGGATCGGAGAATTTTAGGACTGGGGAAGCATCAGTTTAGAAGATATATTTGTAAATTTTCAAAGCAAGCAAAGAGATTTTCTACAGATAAACAGAAAAAGAAATAAATCAACAAAATAGATGTTGCATACTTTTTGTTTCACTTCCCATCCTCCTGCCTCATTTCCTTCTGATTTCTTAATTCCACATACTTCACCCCAGCGATTAGAGTATATTGCACAAGAGAGTAGGGCAAGCGACTAATCAAATAACAATTAAAAAAACAGATACAAAACGTAACAGCTCTGTAAAGGGAAGATCAATGAGTGAACTACAATAAACCTTGGCCTAGTCTGGAAAAGCCAGGAATAGAGTTCCTGAAGAGGGTATCTTTGGAGGGCAGATCTGTGGGATGGCTATGAATTAGTGAGGCAAAACAAGGTAAAAGGTTCCCAACAACAAAAGCAGAATCATAAAAGAGTGCTTAGCAAAGAGAGAAAATGACCTTGAAGAAGCTTGCAAAAAGCTGGCTTCACTGGTGCATGTGGCAGAGGAGGGAACCCATTCCAGATGGATCAGGAGAGACAGCCAGGACAAAGCACGCAGGCCTAAAGAATTACAAAATCTTTGTCTCAAAGGATTTCACTACTGAGGTGGATAACGTGTGAGTAGGGATGATGGGTGTGAATCACTAGATTTCCATTCTTGTTCAGGTGATACAGTCATACGGTTCAAAAAGCGAAGCTAGGCAGAAAGTCATTTTATTTGAAAATAAAGTCCATCCAAGACATGCTTTTAGATTAGAGGAAGAAGAAAACAGAATTAGATGGTCTGAAGAGAGAGCTGTACAATAATTTCTATCTGCACTTTAGGATGGATTGTGACAGACAGGGTATCAGGTGGCAAGGACGTACCAGAATGATTCCTGAATGCCTTTCCTATCCAGGATAATCCTAAAACCTCAACTTCCTACTTTAAGGTTGAGGTTAGCACCTGAATATCTTAGAATGGCTTTGGATCATGTTTTAGTTTATGTATGCTACACTTACCCACTCACACATGTTCATTTACATATACCTGCATATATTATGTACAGGTATGTAAATGCATCAAGCATAACTATTTTGGTTTTCAAATTCTCCAAAGCAAACCTTCAACACTTATTTAGTCAATGAGTTAGTCGCTCCCTAAGATTAACTATTTATTGCATAACAATTGGAAAATCCTCTTAGGCTGGCCCCTGTACCATCTGTATACTGTAAACTGCCAAGAGACATTATTCATATAGATTTTATATAGAGCACTCATTGACCTGTGTGGTCTCCAGATGTGTGGCCCATGAAGTGAAAAATCCCTGACTTAGGTCAGTACGTACTTCAGTAAGCTTTTTTCCGCGGTAGCCTTTCCACTTCATTCCACTTTTTCCCAGGCTGCTTCTCAATTACTCTTGAAGGGTGCAGGGGGAAAAAAGAGGAGAAAACCTATGCTAACGGCTTCCCCTAAAAAGCACTCGTCCATGAATGCCTGTCTTTAAAGACGTTCCCCTGTGTGCCACGAGGGATTTAATTCCTTCAATGATCAGAGTTTATCTTTTAAAAGTAGAGAGGCCTCTTTTACTCTCTGCTCACCCCAAATAAAGACCAAGGCCACTGTGATCTGAACTAAAACCACAATCTAGTCTCCCAAGTGATGTAAATGAAGTGGAGCATGCTGCCATATAACACCAATAAACAATTTGTAGAGACAATAACGTTTTCATCTACAATATTTTATATGGAAATATCTTAAGAGTGTATCTAACTACTGCTTCTGATCCTATAATTTAGTATGACCTCATTTTAAACCAGTGTAACTGCTCAAAAGTAATGTAGATGTCAGAACATTTCTGCAGTCCAGCTCTGACCAAGTTATTATTTACTTCCCCAACAAAGCTATAAACACCTAAGAAATACAATTTCAAAGTGTCAAGACATTTAAGGGTATGTATATGCACAAAGCGAAGTGTTACACTTGAGGTGGAAAAGAAGAAAAGAAGTTACAGAATTAACTCCAGATTTTTTTTTAAAAGAAGCTGATGCTGAAAAAGAAATTAGGTACATGAAATATTTCTGAAGAGAATAAATTTAAACCAGGCCATGATGACCTGAAACTGCCCAAGTTTTGTTTTCCTGGATCCATAACCCATCTTTCACCAAGCGTGATAAACATAACAAAGTGGAAGGAGGAGACAACATTGCTCTTAAAGCTTCAGGAGGGATGGAGGGCAGCCCAGCACGGGCTTCCCCTCGCTGATGCATGCGAATTCCCATCCCCTGTTTAGTATGCACAAGTCATGTGGGGAACCAGTTCAAGTTCATAAGGACAAATAATTTTTAAAGGAAAAAATGTGTTTTCTTCCGCGTAAGTTGTTCTTCACTCTGACATCAAGCACTATCCTGCTCCAGAAAGCCACTGATAAATATCCAAGTCAAAAAGAGCAACTCGCCATGCTATAAGCAAGATGAGGGCATTTTCAAATGAACAGGAAAGCATGCATGATCAAGTTTCAATTTAAAGGAAAAATTAAAGCAGGAAAAAAAGTCTGCAAGTGTAAATTGCTTTGAAATGACCTTTTTGTATTGGCCCTATCTTCAAACACTTATTTTCATGGGGCACTGCTTATTATGCATTTAAAATTGATCTGTAAATTTTAAAAAGCAACCATGTAATGACAATCATATGTAAACAATGTAGGAAACCAAGTATCACCGGTTTACAAATGTTTTGCTACAAAATCAGTACGCTTGAATTTATTTCTGAAGAATGTTTAAAATGTAGTTAGAAGCCTGCCAAACAATTTTCCCCTAGATATTTTGTATAAATTTTGTGCAGCAAGAAAAAGGCAGAAAGAAAACAGCAGTAGTAGATAATGATCACATGATGGAAGTCACTAATCCTGTGGTTTGTGTTCAAAAATCAAACTCCTGAAGGCAGAAAGGACATGAAATATGCCTTTGCCCGTCAGTTGCTCTGAGTATTAATTATGTATATCCAATAAAATAAAACATTGCATCTTTGTCACTGCCCAAAATTTTTAAATTCAGAGAAGAGAGAAATCACACTTGAAGAGAAATAATATCCATAAATTAGCAAAGCAAAAGGTCACTCGTTCATTACCTCTGCACGACATACATATACATGATCCAAGGGAGGAAACCCTCGGCAGACGCACAGACAAAGCCTTACCTTGACAGGTGCCATTTTTCTCTTCGTATCCTGCCTGGCACATGCACTTCCCGATGGGCACCAGCCACTCCCCTTCAGCACTGCAGTGCATTTTGGGGGGGTCATCTGTGACAGAATGATTGACACAGGCGCCCGACACCTCAAGCAACTGTGAAGAGTCTGCTCCAGTGATGGTGTCCGGGAAGACAGCTAAGTGACGCACCACTGAAGGGCATTTTTTATAGTACACACGCACAGAAACCAGAGCGATGCAGGCTCCCACATCTTGGAAAGCAAGATAAAATCCCTTCTTGCTGAGAGGGCCCACGTCTCTGACCTCTGTGTTCAGTTTCATGACCCGGTCCCCAAGATCAAGTTCTGTAAAGCTCTCATCGGCTGCAATGGTGTCGATCTTGATGTACTGGTTTTCCTTAATGCTCCTCCCATTCTCATCATCAGTCTCAAAGTAATACATGTTGAAAGTTTCCTTACAGGTCCCCAGGCCTCCAGGAAGACTGTTACAGTCCCGCAGAGTAAATTTGAGTTCTATGAAGATTCTGGAAGCACCTTCGTTGGAGATCCAACTGGTTAACAGCCAGTTATTCTGATTCTGTTCCATCACCTTGCATACTTGGTATGTGTGGATAGGAGCGTAGTTTTCATCAACTTCGCCAATCTCTTCCCACTATACAACAAGAAACAGAAAGAAAAGAAGATTGGCAAAAATTGTCAAAAAGAACTACTTATGACAGGAAAATGCCTGTAACCTCAAAATACAGTATGAAGATAAAGAGCCTTTTTACAAAGTACAGTGAAAAATTATTGAAAAAAGTTTTTCTTTTATTTTTGTGTTGGGGGATCATATTAATCATGCATCCTACCATGAACTATACTCTTAGCTTCTCTTTTAAAATTAAATAAATGAAGGACTTAAATTAATTAACTTCAGATTAACTCAAAGATGTACACATATGAATTTTATATACCAAGGGAAATCAGCTATTTAAGGATTAAAATATAAAGAAAAGTGAATGTGGATAAAGTAAGCAAGGAAAAGCCAAGAAAGGAAATACTGTGTATTTGAAAGAGGTGTATCAGCAGGCAAGAGAGAAGCTTCGGTTCAGACGTTTCCCAGAGGGTCATGTGTTAAAGGTTGGGTTCCTGTCTTTTAAACCATCAGAACTCAGTAGAAACTCTGGGAAGCATGCCTGAGGGAGCTCTGTAGGGAATCGGGGTGTGCTCTGAAGGGGACTGCTGGTCTCAGTCCATTTTTCATTCTCTTTTACTTTCTGGGGTGAGGGGAGCCATTCCGTCCATGCAGCCCCCAAGGGAGAGCTGCCTTCTCACAGGCTTAAAGATGACAGGGCTACCTGATCAGGGACAGAAACCTTCAGGGCTGTGAACAGACCTTGCTCTTATACTTGCAGCATCTCAGCTATTGGCCACAGCAATGGAAGGCTAACTAATAGAAAGCAAAATTTAAGAAAAAAAATGAGGAAAGAAAACAGCAAATGGAAAAAAGAAAAATTAAACTTAGGAAAACACATTTATTTAATTTTGTAATGTAACAAAAAGCATATTACTCTGACAAAATATGAAAGAAAATCCATTAGCTTCAAATAGTAGATCTTTATTTTATTGAGTGTGTTGACAGAATTTTCACTAAATGTTTAATTGTTTCTTCATACATCCACCCACAGATATAGAGGCAGTTATAAAATAGAGATAAACATTATAGATTGACAGTATGGATAAGCTTATATGGAATATTAAAGGTCTTATTTTTATGCCATAGAAAATTAATTGCTTGTTATCAATGCATTGTTTTCTTTGCAATTATCTGAAAATATACTGGATATAAAAACAACTAAATATAGTTCACATAGTTTGCAAGATCAATTTGGTCAAAAAGAGATGCAAACCTATTTCTTTTCAAATAAAAAGACCTCAGTTTTAAGAATCTCAATGTGTCATGACCACTTCCTGAAGTACATTGAATCCAAATTTGTATTCCTCACAAATATGTCATTATAGTTAAGGAATTTACTAAGCCTGTACAGAAGCTATGTGTAGACATTTGTACAGTATTATCTTCTGTTTGCAATCCTTCAAATGTCCCTGAACCACAAAGAGCGATGCACACATGCTGGTTTTCAATAAATTCAGAATATGTGATTTCAGACATTTAGCTTCATAGATAAAATGTGTAGAATTCACTTCTTTAGACATTAAATTAAACACAGAATTATTTCTTCATTTTGTACAACTGGCAAAGATGTGGGAAATGTAGAGGCACGAGGGATCAAATAGATCTTAGACTTAAGATGCTCCACTTAAAATTCTAGCCGCATCACACGGACCTGAGTAAAAGGTGCTAATGAGGTAAAACTGCTGAGCTCCTGGAATTCGCGGGAGAGAGACATCAGGGTTTCATCTTGCCTCACAACTTTTGCATTACGGTGTTTGGAGAAGCTTGAGTTCTTTTAATTTCATTTTGTTCTCTTCTGAAAATGTGTATAAACTCTCCTTAGCCACTGATTTTCCAAACCACCTTTCTATTTTATCATTCTACCATTCAGCTATTTACATTTTCTTCTCCAAGTGGATTAAGTATCAATCTATTATAAATGGTTCCCAAATGTCTTGATTAATATTTCATGCAAAAGAGCACCTCACCTACACAAAAATGATGAAGTTATCAATACCATAGCAAAATTAATTAAATATACATTATTTGAATTAGTAAATGGAAATAACAGTATGAAAGCTTTTCTCTTCAAAAAATAAATGAAAAAGCTATATTATTTCTGCTTAAATATTTATATTCTGATTGCAATCCAAATCAAAGCACAAATGGATTTTAAATCATTTGTTTTTAATCAATTAGAAAAGCCCTAGTTTGGATTCATATATTCCATTAGGATCCTACTAGCAAGCAAAGACAAGCAGAATAGTGGAATCCTCCAAAATTATAATACACAGTCTCTGTTGTAGGAAGTCCAGGAGAGCACCAATATTAGTAAAAATGCAAGCCAGGCAGCACTCAAAAAGAAAACTGAATAGTTACGTTTTGGGTGACAATTTCAAACTATGTGAATAAGCATCTCGCTTCTCTGAATATTTTAATTAAGCAAAAAAAAATCTATATAATTTTCTTGAACATTGAACCTGTTGTGGTGGGATTTCTACGTATTTTTCTTTTCAAGAATCAAAAATATAGACACTGCCGCCACCACTCATGGAGGACTAGTCTTGGCCATGATTGCCTCCACTAACCCCTCCACCACCGCCACTGCTACTGTTGTACCAGTGGTGATGGTGGCAGTAGCGGTGGTGGCTGCAGAGACCATCAGGACCGTGGGAGCTGAGGCAGGGATGGTGGTGGTAGGTAGAACCACAGCAGTGGTGGCTACAAACTAGAAGTTGTGGAGGTGGCCATGGAGGCAGAGGTAGCACGGGCAGAAGTGACCGAGGTGGCTTCAATAAATTTGGTGGCCCTCAGGACCAAGGATCACGTCATGGTTCCGAACAGGATAATTCTGAAAACACCATCTTTGTTTAAGGCCCGGGTGAGAATGTTACAACTGAGTCTGTGGCTGGTTACTTCAAGCAGATTGGCATTATCAAGACCAATAAGAAAACCAGACAACCTGTGATTAATTTGTACACAGACACGGAAACTGGCAAGTTGAAGAGAGAGGCAAGTTGCATTTGATGACTCTCCTGCTAGAGCAGCTATTGACTGGTTTGATGGTAAAGAATTCTTGGGGAACCATTCGATTAAGGTCTCATTTGCTACCCAGGGAGCAGATTTCAATCGGGAAGGTGGCAATAGCTGAGGAGGCTGATGGAGAGGAGGACCCATGGGGCGTGGAGGTTATGGAGGGGATGGCAGTGGAGGAAGTGGCATGGAGGTCAGCAGCAAGCTGGGGACTGGAAGTGTCCTAATCCTACCTTTGAGAACATGAACTGGCCTTGGATAAATGAATGCAACCAGCATAAGGCCCCTAAACTAGATGGCCCAGGAGAAGGTCCAAGAGGCTCCCATATGCAGGATAACTATGGAGATGATCATCATGGTGGCAGAGGAGGCTATGATCAGGGCAGCTACTGGGGCCATGGAAGGGATCATGGGGGTTTCCGAGGGGGCCAGGGTGGTGGGGACAGGGGCATCTTTGGTCCTGGCAAGATGGATTCCAGGGGTGAGCACAGAAAGGATAGCAGGGAGAAGCCATATTAGTGTGGTTCTGAGATTCTGGAACAACTTTGTCCCCTGTACCCAGTGTTACCCTCATTATTTGTAACCTTCCAACTCCTGATCATCCATGGATTTGTGTGTGTGTGTGTGTGTGTGTGTGTGTGTGTGTGTGTGTGTGTCTGACTATATAATTGTAACCATACCTCTGGTTCTCATTAAAAACCATTGTTTTAGTTAAAAAAAAATCCAAAACATAAAGGAAGGCTGGTATTTAATATTTCCAGTAAACAGATAAAAAGGCTTTAAATAATTATGCCAAGAAGCCATTCAGAGAATCACACAGTGATGCTCACATTTCCTCTGTTAGCCCTTATCTAAACCAATTCATTATGAAATAGATGAAACTATTTCATTTATTTTATGTTATCAGAAGCAAAGTTCTGAATTTGCTCAGCTTCTTCTCTTCAGGTATGAACAGGTCATCTTGCAGGCACTGGCACAAATCAAGAATAAAGAAAGGGGATGAAGGGCCAGGGACACAACTCAGTGGCACAAGCGCCTGACTGGCAAGTGCAAGGTCCACTGGCAAGCACAAGGTCCTGAGTTCTATCCCTGGTACCACAAAAAGGAGAGAGAGAGAGAGAGAGAGAGAGAGAGAGAGAGAGAGAGAGAGAGAGAGAGAGTCACCAAGAATTCAAGAATATGGTGAGCAAATTTCTAGGTAC